CATGCTCTGATTCCAGAGCTTGTGTCCTTAATTTCATGCTCAGTAGTATAAAATTAAAAGTAATCTCCACAGGAATTCTTCAAGATAGTTATGATTAGAATAATAGATTGTGGGCTAGAGTGGTGGGTCAGTGATTTTGAGCACTAACTGCGCTTCCAGAGGACCTGGGTTCAATTCCATAACTCTGGTGTCAGTGAATCCAGTGCCCTCTTCTGACCTTTAAAGGCACTAGGCATATGTGGTATATTTATGTACATGCACACAAAAGACCTGCACACAAAATTTAAAAGAAAAATATACATTTAGAAATCTGATAATTTGAAGAAGTAAATTACTCCGAGGCGCACATAGCAAATACACAGTAAAAGTACTTATTTGAACACTTACGAAAAACACTTTCCTCGGCTTTTTCTTATAACACATATCTGCCAGAATAGAAGCTTTAAGAAAGGAAAATTGTGAGTATATTTGGTATTGTAGTCTAAATTACTTAGAGTCCCTTGACCAGGTAAGTGTGTCTATCATTTCTATGTTGGCTGCCCTTGTAGCCTCACAGGATCTCAGCTGTTAAGCCCAGAGTATATATTTGGGTCTTCATTGCGTCCTTCATAGGAAGCCCTGACTGTTCTTGAGTCAAGGGTAGATCCACTGACTAGCTGACCAGAATCAGGCATAGAGAGGCTAGGAATTTGGATAGAGAAGACGTTTAGGTTTTCCCTAAATTTTGGAGATTTAATACCATGTATCAGATTAATTGAAAAAATATACATCCACCAAATGATAGTTACTAACATAGAAAAATGAATTCAGCTGTTCCATCTTTTAATTTCAGAGTATGATGCTGTGGCTGAGAAAGCTGGTACAGTAGAAGCTGAGGTTAAACGGTTACATGACACCATCATAGAAATCAACAACCGAAAACTCAAGACCCAACAAAACAAAGTGGATACGATTAATAAGCAGCTGGATGAATGTGCTTCCGCTATTACTAAAGCCCAAGTAGCAATCAAGACTGCTGACAGGTAGAGTGTGGACTTCCCTGCCTGCCCTCACCCCTGCCGGGACAGTGCAGAAGAGTAGTCAATGTTGTATTGGGTGTTAGTTTCTAAATTTCACTATTATCCAGTAATACTTTGAGAAGGAAAAGCTTATCATTTGTCTAATTTAAAAAGAAACAGCAAACTGATAATCAGGGTATGTCTTAGAAAAGTTGGAGTATCATACCCCAGTTATTGTTCAAGGCCTAGATATGTCTTGTTTCTCTAGCATAGAAAAGTAGATATACCATAGCTAGGAACTAGAAACAAGGAGTGGTAACAAAAAAGCTCTAAGTCAGATCTTTTAAAATCATTTTTTATTTATGTATTGATTATCTGTTGATCCATTTGGCTAAAAGTAAGAAGCTTAGGGAATTATTCATTAGCAGAAAGTATGCTTGAGATAGTGTGTTTTTTTTATGTTTAATTTTATTGTATTTTCATTGTTGTTTTGCCTGCATGTATATCTGTATGAGGGTGTCAGATCTTGGAGTTTCAGACAGTTGTTAGCTGCCATGTGGGTGCTGGGTCCTGTGGAAAAGCAGTCATTGCTCTTAACCACTGAGCCATCTCTCAAGCCCCTTGAGATAGTTTAAAAAAAAAAAGAAACAATTCAATGAACTGGTCATGGTGATACATACTTGTGTGATCCCAAGACACCAGAACTCAAAAGGAAGAGTCAGGCATATTTCTGTGAGTTCCAAGAGAGACCTTGTCTCAGAAGAAAACCTTGTTGGATGTCAAGAGTTTTACATTCTAATAGGTAACTGCAACAAAGTCTACTAGACGATTACATGAGGAGGCTTAATGGAAATTTTTAGTAAAACATACAAATAAGGACGATTCGGTAAATCACAAATTTTAAAACCACATTAAATGTCATAAATTGTTGTTTGCTTCTTTAGAAATCTTAAAAAGGCACAAGATTCTGTATTACGTACAGAAAAAGAAATAAAAGACACTGAGAAAGAAATGACTGACTTAAGAGCAGAACTAAAGAATGTTGAAGACAAAGCAGAAGAGGTCATAAATGCTACAAATACTGCAGAGGTAAGTTCTGTTGCTGTGTTACAGGACAGATGACATTTGAAGTTAAAATTTTGTATATAGCAAAATATGAGAACTTTCTGTGAATTAAAGTGAGTCATGAAGAGAAATTGCGAACAATGGGTGTAATGTAAAAATACCTACCTATTTCACTTGTGGAGATGGTATTTGTCACAGTTCTTCTTGATTTTTAGGAGTCATTGCCAGAAATCCAGAAAGAACATCGTAATCTACTTCAGGAACTAAAAGTTATTCAAGAAAATGAGCACGCTCTTCAGAAAGATGCGCTTAGTATTAAGTTGAAACTTGAGCAAATAGATGGCCAGATTGCTGAGCATAATTCTAAGATAAAATACTGGCAGAAAGAGGTGAGGTCATGCCATTCAATTACTTTTAGAGCCTTCCTGGGAGGTGGGGAGCGGGAGGGATGGCTCCTGGATCAAGAACACTTGCTGCTCTTGTAGACGACCCAAGCTCAGAGCCTAGCGCCACGTGGCAGATTACAACCATCTATAATTCCAGTTCCGTCCTCCTAGGACACGAGACATACATGTAGTGCATATACATACATGCAGACAAAACACTGTCCGTTTTTTTAAAAAAGGCTTTTGTGTTAAGTGTGTATTTTTTCTGGTTTTGGAGGTATGTTGTGATTCTTTATCCCATAATCACTTTTCATTTATAAGGGATATAATAGAGTACATAAAAATTAGTAATAGAATAGTGTCTACCTTCTCAGCCCAGCACTTATGGGCAAAGTAGTCATGATTCATTTCTCTACTGTTTTTGTGTCTGTCGTTTTTCATGTTTTGACTTAATAGGCTGGGAACTAGAGAGATATCCCAGTGGTTATCAGCACCTGCAGCTTTTGCAGAGGATCCATAGCTTTGGCTCCCCATGCCCACATCAAATGGCTTGAAACCAACCACCTGTTCTACAGGATCTAATGGCCCTCTTTTGGGATCTATGGCATCCACAAACATGGCATGCGCACGTGCGCGTACACACACACACACGTAAAAGTAATTCATCCTGTTTTTTCATCTCTTCACAATTCTCAGATTTCAAAAATAAAATTGCATCCTGTAGAAGACAACCCTGTTGAGATGGTATCAGTTCTAAGCCCGGAGGATCTTGAGGCAATCAAAAACCCAGATTCTATAACAAATCAAATTGCACTTTTGGAAGCTCAGTGTCATGAAATGAAACCAAATCTTGGTGCCATTGCAGAGTATAAAAAAAAGGTATGAGGGAATTATTTCTAATAGGAATTTTGCTTAGTCTAAATTAAGATCTGTGATTTTGCATAATGAGCAGTGCTGATTTTCAGATTTGTGTGTAAACTTTTTTACAATCTTCACAGGAAGAGTTGTATTTGCAGAGAGTAGCAGAATTGGACAAAATTACTTCTGAAAGAGATAGTTTTAGACACGCATATGAAGATCTTCGAAAACAAAGACTAAATGAATTTATGGCAGGTTTTTATGTAATAACCAATAAATTAAAGGAAAACTACCAGATGCTTACTTTGGGAGGAGATGCTGAACTAGAGCTCGTGGATAGTTTGGATCCTTTCTCTGAAGGAATCATGTTCAGGTTTGTAAGATTGAATGCTACATATTTTCTAAATCCTTAATACTTCTTGGGAGTGTAGTATGAAGGCTAGAACTACAACTTCTTCTATTTGATGATAAATACTAACTCTCCGTGTACTTGTGAGTTTACAGAATAAAATATATGCAAATGGTTACACGATGCCAAGTTAATCTTGTAAAAAAATTGATCTTCAAAGCCAAATGCACGCATCTTTAACCCTGGTGTGTCACTACAGGGAGATGGGGGCAGAAACCACTCACAGGCCAGGCAGCCAGGCTCATGCAGCAATAAAATGACTGTCAGAAAGGCCTTCAACACCAAGACTGTATTGCAAAATTGGTGAATAGTAGCTAGTTTATTGTTCAAATCTTAAAATTATGGTAGATGTTCCTAATGTGTTCATCTTTCAGTAACCTTTCTGTAAAGAGGCCAACAGCCAGGCCGTGGGGTGTAAGGATCACAAATTTTAAGAATAAAAGGTCATCACCTACTGAGATCACCCTGTGTGTGAAAAGCAGCATACAGATTTATTAAGGAAAGTGTTTGGTGTTAATTACAGAAAACACTAAGTTTAGTTGTTCTTATTTCAGTGTTCGACCACCTAAGAAAAGTTGGAAGAAGATCTTTAACCTTTCAGGAGGAGAGAAAACCCTTAGTTCATTGGCCTTAGTGTTTGCTCTGCACCACTACAAACCCACTCCCCTCTACTTCATGGATGAGATCGATGCAGCCCTAGATTTTAAAAATGTGTCCATTGTTGCATTTTACATATATGTAAGTAAATCTGCAAAGTTTGTGTTTTATTTCTTGTTATCAGGAGTTTCATTTTACCCAAATTCCTCTCAATCTCACACACTTTCATGAATTCTTCATTATTCATGTAAGCATTACATAACCATCTATGTCAAAATTATTGCCCACAAACCTTGTGGAATAATGTTTGAGTATTTTTTATGTCTTAACTGTGCCTCTTTTTCTTTTTAGGAGCAAACAAAAAATGCCCAGTTCATAATAATTTCTCTTCGGAATAATATGTTTGAGATTTCAGATAGACTTATTGGAATTTACAAAACATACAATATTACGAAAAGTGTTGCAGTGAACCCAAAAGAAATTGCATCTAAAGGACTTTGCTGAACTTGTTTATATTGAAAATTCTTCAAATTTACCTTGATTTAGTATTTCTCAGTTTTTTTCTGTAAATGATAAAGTTGTATAAAGTACATTTTTCTAAGTTGTATGACAAATGGCTTCTGTTTTATTAGTGATAAGGTCTAAAACAATTGTATCCATTCTATATTATAAAATGAGGAGTCTGGCTGTTTTAAACATAATTCTTTATTAAGTTGTATAAAGTACATTTTTCTAAGTTGTATGACAATGGCTTCTGTTTTATTAGTGATAAGGTCTGAGATAATTGTATCCATTTCTGTATTAAATGAGTCTGACTGGCTTGGTTTTCTGGGTTTGTTTTTTCTTTTAACATAATTATTGATTCCTTGGGAATTTCACATCAATCACCCCAATCGTGCTCACTTCTCAGCCCCTCCATATCTGCCCCTCAGTACTGTAACTTGCCCCCAAAAAATTAGAAACAAATAAGCATCTTGCTCCTCTGTCCTTCCAACATGTCTTCACTTATCCATCAGGACCTGCAGTGTTATCAGCTTGTCCAGTCAGGCCACTTGCAAAGTATTCATTGCAATGAGTTGTTCTGGTTCAAGGCCTCTGAACACCATCACTGGACCCTCATCAAAACTGTTAGTACTTAGGCATTTGTACTGACTGTCCTTGGGGTTCTCACAGAATATACCCTCAGCTGCAACCACAAAGAGCACCATTCAATTCATTCCCACCTCCCATCTTCCTCCTACCTTCCCACCCCCAACCTCCTCTGCATCTCTCTCTACCTCTCTTGCCCCTTTCCTGTTCACTTTCCCCCAATAAGCTGGTAGTTTTAGACCACTGGGACTGACCCCTCACCACCACCCTCCCATTAGGGGCAGGGCCAGGTCTCTCTAGTCCTGGTCATGCGATTAAGGCCATCTTTCTCATGGCCATAGTGAGGGGAGAAAGGGGCCATCTCTCCTGTTAGTGTCTAGCAAGGAGCAAGGCCAGTGAGTGGTTTAGTTTTGTGTTCAGTGTGATCCATCTAACCTCAAACTCTGGTTTCTACCATAATGGACATTACAGGTATTCCACCTTCTCTTGAGTTCCTGTAATCCCAGGGTCAGTCAGAGGCAGGCCATCATATATGAGGATCATGGCCTACCTATGTAGGCTAATGCATAACCAAGTTCAGTGAAAACCAGGGAGGGAGAAGGGTGTAATCACAGGATGGATAACATGGGACCCAAAAGTATAAAAGCAAATTGTTTGCATGTCTAATACAGTTAGTCTAAAGAATATTATATACTAGTAGATATAAACTGGCAACATTTTCAGAAGGAATTTTAATGCCTGCCATCACCAGCTGTCAGAGGCCTGCTCTACTTAATAAGTTCCTATCTAATGAATTTGCCTTATTAAATTCCTAGGTGCTTATCCTAAGAAATCAGACAAATGCCTCCTACAATGGAACATGATTCAGAATAAAGCCACAACAAACTAGCAACATGCTACAATGGCCGGGCATTGGTGGTGCACACCTTTAATCCCAGCACTTGGAAGGCAGAGGTCAGCCTGGTCTACAGAGCTAGTTCCAGGACAGCCTCCAAAACAATACAGAGAAACCCTGTCTCAAAAAAAACAAAGAGTTACAATGATTGTGAAAGTGAAAGAAAATACATTTTAATAACTATAGTATGATGGAATTCAAAGCTAACTTTTCAAAAGACAATCCAGAAGCTGTATGAAAATTCCAAAGCCACCACTTTCTAAGCCATTCAATAAAATACCAAGTTTATTCAAATATATTGTTATACACAAAGCCCAGGATTTCTGAAGTGTGTGTACTTTAAATTGTACAATCTCAGCCTCCTGGTAAGAATATAAAACGTTAAGTATATAGTTACTCCTACCAGAAAACAGAGTTGTGTACTAAAAACTGCCAAGCATAAATAAACACTAGGCATATGCTTGTTTAGCTTGGTTTCTGTTAAGTCTGCTCCGGTTTTTTAAGCAATATACAGAGGTTCTCCCACCTCCTAACATGGCACTGCATTACTTTGATGTTTCTCATTTACACAGTTAACCCTGAAAAATGTCTTTGCTTGCTACCTATTATTTACATTGTGACATACATCTGGGAAAAACTACTGTACATGGTTTCCCCTCACCTCTGTTATATATTCCAAACAGCCTCAGGATATAGATACAGTAACTGTGCCGGGTAAAATCTGATTATTTAAGTGGACCTAATACTTAATCTTAGTGATAAAACTTTTCAGCATTGTCCTAACCTTGAATCTGAATACAGCCTTGAATCTGACCTTTGAAATACGGTCCCCAGAGGTGGTGATTCAATAGCCCATTTGGGATTTCTGGATAAAAATTGGTTTGTGTTCAATATTTCAATGACAGCCAAAGGTGCACTGCAAACATGCTAGTTCCTGTCAAGGGAATCAAGGTTCTGCCTTCATGAGCTCTTGTAAGACTAGCCAGCTACGTACAACAGCTCATACTTGTAATTCACAGCACTTAGGCTACAGACTGAGACCATTTTAAGACAAATACGGATTTATGATACCAGACCTAGTAAATAAATCACATCAACATGATTTCGTACAAGACTAGAACACAAAATATTTGCTTGTATTGCTTTGTGGTGCTAGAGCCAATAGAAAAGGCAGGGGCTCTGCCACCAGACCTTTTTATTTGGTTGGTTTTGGGCATCTCACTTGATATTCAGGCTGACCTTGACTCAGATTCTCCAGCCATTAAACTCAGCTCCTAATTGTAATCTATATAAAACAAGTACTGCACACTTGATTTATCCAAAAGCAGTAGCTTTATTTGGAATGAATGCTCTTATTAACAGTTATGTTTGGCCAAGATGTTTAAACAATCCTAGCCTGATTTTAAAACTTGCCACCTCCATCTACACATTGAAAAGCTTTAAACCATGTCAAAACAGACATCTGGATCTCAATGAGTTTGTCACTTTTTTAAATCTAATACCTACATATACAAAGAACTGCAAAGTTAAGTACTGTAGCATATAACATTTAAAAAAAACTTGTTAAACAAGATAACATTGACTATCAAGCCAATAAAATATTCAAATCAAAAATAATTTGATTCATCTTTCAGATAATGTATCATTTCTGATACCATTTTTATCCAACCATGGAATGTTTATCATATTTCTATATAAGTTTGCTGTCTATGCTACCCTGACTTCCATCTAGCAATGGTCAGCTTTTGCAATACAGAATAAGCCCACTTAACAACTGTTGATTTGAATTTTCAACGAGAAACTATTTTCCACATGAATTCCTTTAACAAATATAAAGGGTAGCATACCATATTTTTAAAGTCATATAAGTTATTACATAAACTTTGGTAAACAGACAAAGAGACTTCAGAGAAACATATTGAAGTGATTTCATTTAAGAAGGTGATTATGTGTTGATTGAAAAAGAGTATCAACATTAATATCACTGAAATTAGTGAAACTACAACAATATTTAAAATTTTAAAAAATTCGATTTCTTTTTCATCCTTTTCAGGCCAGGAACATGGCACCCTTTTTGAAGAAATCCTCATTTCAGGAATGACAGCCTTCTTAATATGTCCAATCTCTGTTCTGCTCCACTCTTCCTTTAATATTTTGCTTACTCGAGGATAAATTTCAACAGGCTGGACCTCAGGAAGCGGTCTTCGTTTCAACATCTGCACACGCTGGCGGACATCATCAATTTTCTCTAGGAATTTAAGTGGAGACTCATCTTGTAAAGATGTAGTCATTGTCATTAACTCAAGCTGCTGCTCTCTCATCTCCTTCACTCTTTCAATCTGTGGAGTGTATTCTTGATTAATCAGCTTGCCAACATCACAGAGAGCTGCCAAAAAATTTTTTTTCTTCTGTTCTAATATATCAGTAAGCTCCTTAAAGTACTGGAGAACCACCTCCTTATCACTTTGAAGCATTTTCTCTGAATGACATTTCTGTTCTTCAAGCTTTTCAATAAGACGAGTGATATCTGTCCAGCGTGTGTCGGTTAACTGTTTAAACAACTTCTGAGGTGTATCCTTTTCTTTCAGATAGGCACTCTGAAGGTCATCTATAGGATGACCATGATGTTGGCCTATAGTAAGACAATGGCCACAAACTAATTTTTTATCTAGTAGACAATAGACATTTAATGGTTGCCTGTAATGTTCAGGGCAGGTGACAACATCTGGGTGGTCTTCTTGCTGATACTTTTCAATAATTGCTCTTAATGCAAAATTTACAGGTAAGGATTCTATACCAGTTGAAGCAATTTCAATAATACTTCTGCAGTTAGGACACTTGAGTGGAATTCGCAAAGGTCTCCATATATAAAAGTTACCAGATGCCTGAAGAACATTTTCCAAACAATTTCTACAAAATGTATGAGAACATGGTAGTACTCGAGGATCTTCAAAAATACTGTAGCAAATGGGACATGTTAACTCGTCCTCAAAATTGTGCATTTCCTATCAAGACAAAAAAAAAATTTAAGCATACATGTGGCACACACTATGTAAGATTTTAGGCATGATCTTCAAATTAAATACTATATTTGCCATTTGAAAGAAAAACAGATTTCCTTTTAGACGATGCTTTCTTTGTAATAAGTGGATCACCTTAAGAGTTTATTCCTTTTCAACAAAATCCCAACTAATTTGTAATAAAATGCTTCAAATCAGTCAAACTGGTTTTATGTAATTAAGACTACACTTCAGTTGCAGTCTACTTAATAATTACTATTATTATTTGCAAGCCGTTACATTCTAAGATACCAAAGTAAATAGTACACTAGTGGCGTACACCTTTAATCCCAGCACTGGGGAGGCAGAAGCAAGTGGATCTCTGTTGAGTTTGAGCCCAGCCTGGTCTACAGAGTGAATGCCAGGACAGCCTCCAAAGCTACACAGAGAAACCCTGTCTCAAAAAGCAAAAAACAAAACAAATTTAATGAATAGATAAAACTATACAGACACTTGTATAACATTGGGCTTAGCAAAATAATTCAATTTAAAGTGAGAGAAAAAAAGTACCTATGTGATCGTTTTGGTTTTTTGCTGAGATAAATGCTAGGGTTGCAGCTAGGGAAGCATCACAACTGGTTCAACGGTTCTTACATTAATTTAAGATCAGCACAGAGCAATTCCTATTTTCTTCTCTTTTCCTTTTGTCGCGCGAGCGCGTGCGTGCGTGCGTGCGTGCGTGTGTGTGTGTGTGTGTGTGTGTGTGTGTGTTACTAATAATCAATCACACTGAAGGCCTCGTACATGTTAGGCAAATACTCAACAATGAGTTATACAGCCCCAGATCCAGACTTACACTGAGGTTTTCTAAAGCAGTAATTTTACTTGAAGACTTGAAAGGGAAAAAGTCTTAATTATAATTAGCATTGACAATAAAAATAGACTTGAAAAATAGGAGTTGATTGTGGTAACAAGTACTGACCGAAAAATGAGAATCTAAAACAAACGGTAAAGAAAATAAAGGATACCATTCATTTCTTTCCTGCACTTAAAATGTTTGAGAGGCTGAAGAGATAGCTCAGTGGTTATGACTACAAACTTGTTCTTCCAGAGGATCAGAATTCAGTTCCCAGCACATAAGGAAGCTCACACCACATACAAAACCAGCTCCAGGGTATCCAACACATTCCCAGTACCTGCACATACCTGTCCCACAACACGCGAGCACTTTTTAAAAATGTATTTCAAAACTATTCCTAAAACAGAAAACAACCCATCGATTGTTCAGAGACCCCTGACAGACGATGGACCTCCATACGCTATTATTTCCAACAGAGGTTGGCAGCTCTGCAGCCCACTTCAGTTTTCTTTTGGTCATTCTCAGCAAAACACGACCCTCAAAACTGCCTAGCCTTTGGCAGGCAAAAATCAAACCCATCACTGTTTAAAGAACCTTAAACAGATCCTAGGTGTTCTTCATAAAGAGTGTAAAAGCTGTCAAAACCTATATAAACTAGTTCCAGATCAAATGTTTGTAACAAAACGACCAGGGATGTAGCTTAGTAGAGTGTGCATCTAGCATGCATGAGGTCCTACATACCGTCTCCAGCATCACCAAAAAATGTGTAGCAATAGCAACTAAAAGTAACTAATTGTTCTTTAAAATTCCACCCAATCTGTTTAGCCCTTAGCTCTAACCATCTGAGACTGCTGTTAGCCTAGACTAATTGCCTTCATAAATTTAATTAAAGAGAGACTGAACAAGACTTTATAAGAATGTTCGTAACATATTATGTATTAGAATGTAAGCCTCCTATAAGGTCAGAAATAGTATCTAAACAATAGCAGTGTTAACAGCGATCTGGACTTTCTAATAATAAAATCTGTTAAAAGCAATGAAGAGGCCATCAGAAAATGTCTCGTGTATTGTCTGACAATATTCAGGATCCAAAGTGAGTCAAGCTGTAGCATGTAGAGACTGGATGTTGACCTGTGCAGGGTTCCAGGAAACAAATGATTGGGCAGCAGTACAGAAGGCAACAGTCGTTGAAAACAAATGCAAGAGAATGCACGCTTAGACAAAGCCTTTACAACTTTACCCCACATCCACAGAGGGCTGTTAAGTCACACAGAAATCACCAAAGAAAAACAAACCTGCTTCTCAGAGTACTCCAATGATGTCAAAATACACAATGAAGGAAAATACAGAATAGTTATTTGGAAGGAATAAAATTTAAGCAATGGACATACATTCGATCCAGATTTAATATCATTAGCACAATATCATTGGTGTGCAGGTAGCAAAACTGCAAGAAAATTAGATTTTAGGACTAGTTTCCTTACACATTAACTAACTCTAGTATTATTAAATCTTCAAAGTTCTATTTTATGTGTCTCACAGGAAGCTAGGGGGTGTTGGGACATGGCTCAATAGGCAAACCATTTACTAATGCAAGCTTGAGGACCTGAGTTTGGATCCCCAGAACTCATGTAAATCTGGACACAGTAGGCAAACCATTTACTAATGCAAGCTTGAGGACCTGAGTTTGGATCCCCAGAACTCATGTAAATCTGGACACAGTAGGCAAACCATTTACTAATGCAAGCTTGAGGACCTGAGTTTGGATCCCCAGAACTCATGTAAATCTGGACACAATACATATCAATAAACTCAGACAGCAAAATGGAGGCAGAGGTGAAAAAAAGACCCAGTCTCCAAGAAGTTAGAAGGAGGCTGTCCTCTGACCCCCACACATGCCCTGGGGGAGGGCAACACACATTTGTACAAATATAAAACACTCAAAAGATTTTGGGGGAAGCTGGAAAGATGGCTCAGAGGTTAAGAGCTCTGACTGCTCTTCCAGAGGTCCTGATTTTAATTCCCAGCAACCACATGGTGGCTCACAACCATCTATAATGAGATCTGGTGCCCTCTTCTGGTGTGCAGAAATACATGCAGAGAACATTGTATACAAAATAAAAATAAATAAATCTTTAAAAAAATGGGGGGGGAGTGGAGGAAAGTGACAGTATCTCTGAGAATCCATTTAATAATCCAATAGCTCAACTTTTAAGTTGTAAGAAGTTTCCCAACAAACTTCAAAGGCAACACTGGACTCTACAAGACAATGAAGAAATACCAAATATTGATATACTGATTTACAAGACTGACAAAAGTATACTGGGAGGGGGGTATAAAAAGAACTACATTTTTTTAATTAAAAAAGTTAAAGCTGGGTGTGGCAGCATCCGCCTTTAATCACAGCACTCAGGAGGCAGAGGCAGAGAATCTCTTAGTTTGAGGCCAGCCTGGTCTACAGAGTGAATTCCAATACAGTCAGTGCTACAGAGAAACCCTGTCTCAAAGAACCTCCCCCCGAAAAGCCACTTAATAAAAATGTCAAATCTTCATTCTCGCCTTCCTCCATAACTTCCAATAATTAAACTCTGCTCACCAGCTTGTCACAAGCCCTCGGTAACTAAGCCATCTTGCCAGTCCAAAAAACATGGGGGAAGAAATGCAAATACATTAAAGTGAAGCTGCACGCAGAGTTGCATGCCTTTCATCCCATGCACTCAGGGAGCAGAAGCAGCAGGAATCTGTGAGTTCAAGGCCAGCCTGGACTACACAGTGAGTTCCAGGACAGCCAGTGAGAACCCATCTCAATAAAAGAAACAAGTGAAAACTAAGAGAGTTTAAGAAATAAATGTGATAGGTTTTAAAGAACACGAATAGGGAACAGAAGAAAATATCATTGACTTTTATACTGTTTCATTTAATCAGCATACAGCTAAAATATAATAAACTGTTAAAAGACAGACAATCCTACAAGCGGCCAGGCAGAAATGCACAATGCAAACTACAAAAGCATTAGCAGTGAGATATGGCAGAAGGATTAAAGTCTGAGCCCCCCCCTGAGCTATACAAATGTGCAAACAAAATAAACCCTGAAGACCAGTTACCCTCACACATGCTGTTCTGAAATTCAGCCCAGCCGCTACTTCTCTATTTCCACCCCGCCCCAGAAAACTTTGTATACATCACATGACTACTTTGACCATCAAGCAGCACTCTGAGCTCTGGGTGTTTAGGTCTTAAGACACCAAGTGGATCAAGCCAGGCAGTGGTGGCACACGCCTTTAATCCCAGCCCTAGAAAGACAGGTGGGCGGATCTCGTGAGTTCGAGGCCAGCCTGGTCTACAGAGGGAGCTCCAGGACAGCCAGGGCTACACAGAGAGACCCTGCCTCAAAAAAACAAACAAAAAAAGGAAGCCATGTGTATCCGTTCCTTTTCTGTTGTTATAAAACACCATGACCAAGGCAATTTACAGAAGAGTTTTTTTCCAGAGGGTTAGAGTCCATGACAGCTGGAGTGGGAACCTGAGAGTCACATCTTTAACAGCAAGCCTGGGACAGAGAACAGAAAATGAGGTAAGGCTCTCCACTCTCAAAGCAAGCCCCACTGACAAGTCCTCCAGCAAGGCTGCATAACCTCTCCAACAGTGCCACCAACTGGGGACAAAGTGTTCATTTCAAATGCCTGGGAGACATTTTTCATTCAAACCATACCTAGCAACCAGCTGCTATGCAAGACGTCGAGGCTACCTGGATTTTTTAAATCAGCACTAAGATGCCAGACATGTTAGTAAAAAGGCCTTCTTGGACACAGCTAGCCAAGCTGCTTTCCAATGTCTATTACACAAAAATAGATTGCCAGAATACATACAAAGCAACAAGGAATGTTGTAAGACAGTATTACAAAATGTCTATAAGCTCTAGAAGGAAACTCTACCTGTGTGATTTATTCACATGTAACAATAAGCAAAATCTATCATTAAAAAACAATGAAGGTATTATCAAGTAAAAAGGAATATAACAAAGACTCCACTAAAAAGAAGTTACAACTGAGCACAGCCATGCGTCATCCCAGCTGCTCCAGAGGCAAGAGACAGGATGATGATTTGAGCACCACTAAGGACAATTTCCTAGACCAGCCTGGAAAATAGAGTCAGAACCCATTCAAAACAAAAATCATGAAAAGCAGAATAAAATAAATGAATAAAATTAAAGAAACTTATTAGAGTTAAGTAAATAAATAATTTGCTATCTGTGCTGGCACTCCCTATAGGATGACTGTCAATAACTTCTAGTCCCTTGGGCACTTACTAAATCCCCTCCTCTTTAATATAAATGAGATGTAGACGTAGTGACTCCCTTCTGCCATACAAAATGCAGACGTAATAATCTGCTTCAAGTATTCCTCTTCTCTACCACTCAAAGAATTCTCCCTACCTAATGCTCTAAGTATTCCAAGGTCTATTTGGCATGGTTAGAAACTGGGACACTTTACCTGATGTTTAACAAGGAATGGAAAGCAGTAAACAGATATATAAAGACCCTTCAGGCCACAAGTCCACAACCCCAGCAGTGGCAGGTCCCATGAGCACAACACGTGACACCCAGAGCCACCCATTAACACACTACCCTCATCAAGAGAGAAGGAATACTGCATGCATTGACAAGAGGGAAAATACACAGACAGAAAGCAGACAAAAACAGGAAAAAAGCCAGCACTGCACACATCTCACAATCTACACAAATGAAGTGTGCAGATTACTGAACCACATCAGTTCAAATGCCTAAAACTGACCCAGGAAAATAAAGCAAACTATATGGGAAATTTTACAAGTTAAACAAGTACTGTTTTGGATAAGGGAATGGGAAGAGTTGGGATAAGCTTCTAAAAGTTCTTTCAAATGGTCATGAATTTCTTGTTCAGCTGTCCCAGAATACAAATTAATAAGTATGCAAATTTCAAGACAATACTGTATGATCCTAAAACACTGCAGAGATGATACAAACTAAAGAGAGACTAATTTCCAAACTGGACACTTTATAAAATCCTAAGCACTATATTAGCAAAAAATGATACAGGGCACATTAAAAGAAATCCAGCTCTTCTAGAGGACCCAGGTTTCAATTCCCAGCACCCACATAGCAGTTCACAATGGTGTGTAACTCCCATTCCAGGTAATCTGACACTTTCACATACACATACATGCAGGCAAACCACAAAGCACAAAAAGTAAAATAAAATACTTAAAAGAAGGAAGGGAGGAAGGGAGGGAGGGAGGGAGGGAGGGAGGGAGGGAGGGAGGGGCCACCAGCCATGACTGACATGTGGGGTTTGTAGGTCAGCGACATCGAGGTTCTAGATTCTCTCACCAACACCACAACTAAGTAAGATTCTTGTTAATCCAGTAACAGAAAACCTAAAATAATTCACTCAGTGAGGTCAAAGGAGGGGAAAAGTATAACCCCCATTTAGATTTGCAATCTAGAAACAGGAAGCAGAGTGGTGGAGAGAGCAGCCTGTTTAATAGTGTTTAATGTGTAGTGGCCCTGAAAACCAGTGGCACCCAAGACCACACAGCAATGTGAATGTATGGGACGGCACCGAATGTACACACTTTCACAAGGATTTAGATGGTAAATGTATAATACAATAAAAACTAAGAAAAGGTTCTTGACCTATTTTCTTTCCTCTGCCCAATTATTGTCAATCAATTTAAATAATCCATATAAAATGTATTTTCTTCTAATGACCCAAGTAATCAAACAGGTTGTTTGTGGGGTTTGGTTTTTGCTTCTCAAGACGGGGTTTCTCCATGTAGCCCTGGCTGGCCTCAGACTTACAGAGATCTGCCTGCCTCTGCCTCCCGAGTGTTGGAACTAAAGAAGATAGCCACCGCCACCCAGAAACAGGTTGTTTAACACTGGGCTGAAATCAAGGGCTAAATTACCCTAAATTATTTCACAAATCTCTGTGCTTAAGTGTAAAACACTGCTAAATTCCTCGTCTTTTCGTGGGAAGAGAACTACATCGTCTAATCAGGATACTGGATATAAATAGATTAAATATAAGCGTTATTGAGTATGCCACTCCTGAGCTTGTGTTTTTAAGTTTTAATTCACGAACAGTTAACTACTCTTCATCTTTGAACATGAATGTTATAGAATACTCATTACTCTTTAGTTTCATTTTTTGAACAGGGTAGCATGTGTTCTAGACGATCCACAAACCGACACACACGAGAGGTGTCTTTGAACTCCTGAGTGCTGAGGTTGGAAGGCACACTGCCTCACACAGGGCCGCATTACATTTTACAGATCTTTTTTTTTTTTTTTTTTTTTTTTTTTGGTTTTTCGAGACAGGGTTTCTCTGTAGCTTTGGAGGCTGTCCTGGAACTCACTTTGTAGACCAGGCTGGCCTCGAACTCACAGAGATCCGCCTGCCTCTGCCTCCCGAGTGCTGGGATTAAAGGCGTGCGCCACCAACGCCCGGCTCATTTTACAGATCTTTACAGAAATTACATTTAGCGCACTACAGAGCTCAATGACTTGCCACAGCTTCCCGTGAGTCAGCCACAAGTGTGGTGCCACTGTCCTGCCAGGCCTCACAGCTTCGAGGCTAACTGATAAAAACCCCATGGAGTTACAGCTGCTCCAATTAGCCAGCACACACTGTGGGGATCACAGACCCTGGCCAGAAACCCACTCCTAGAACAGCCTGGGAGCAGGCAGCTGACAATGTTTACTGAAAACATGTTTACTGAAAACAATTCAGTGTCATAAGCTCCTGATAAGGGCTCACTGAAACACCATGACTTTGATCTTCCTGATGGCTAGCTACTCCCTGCTGTTCCAGATTCTGGTGCCAGAGATTTAACCACCAGCCAGGAGGAAGGAGAGGTCTGTGAGAGGTGTGTGAGAGGGCTGTTGAAGTTTTCTGAAGGGAAGTTTTTCTTGGGAAGTTCTCCTAAGCCGATTTGGGGAGCATAAAGTTTTCTTAACGCAACCGACCGACCGGTCTCTGCGTCATCAATCCTCGCCACATTCTCGAATACAGTACCCCTTTAGACCCAGGGCTCGGGAAGCAGAGGGAGGCAAGACTCTGGGCCTGCCTGGTCTACAGAGGTAATTCTAGGACAGCCAACGCTACACAAAGAAACCCTTCCTTGAAAATAATTTTTTTAAGAGTGAAAAATTGAAAACATTCAGCAACATACTTATGAAAGGCAATGTCAATATATACATTACCTAAAGTCAAACTTTTACTTCACCAGGCTAAATTGAGTACCCTGGGTCACTAGAAATGGATGTAGATCAATTTAGTGTAGAGCAGAAAAGAACTTAAATAACGTAACTTGAGTAACAATGCAGCCTGCGAATGTATAAAGAAACACCGTGAATGTGCATGTCTTTAGGTGTGTGGGCAGTCTTGTAAAATTTCTGCTACATAAAAACGCAAATCTTACAGGGCAGTGGTGGTGGTACTCGTCTTTAATCCCAGCAGAGGCAGGCCATTCTCTGTGAGTTGAGACCAGCTCAAGGCTAGCCTGGTCTACAAAGTGAGTTCCACAACAGCCAGAGCTGTTACACAGAGAAACTTTGTCTCAAAAAAGAAGAAAAAGAATATCTTTTAGGTAGGCAACACCTTTAGTCCCAGCACCCAAAAAGTTCGTAGAAGCAGGTGGATCTCTGAGTTGGAGGCCAGCCTGGTCTACAGAAAAATTTCCAGAATAGCCAGGGTTACACAGAGAAACCCTGCCTTGAAAAAAACCCAAAATTAAACAATAACAACAAAGGTGGAAAGCTTTATGTCAATGGTTTTTTTTATTTTTCACATAATGCTTCCTCCATGAAATGGCTAGAAATTTATCACCAATATACATATTTTTTAAGATATGTTAAATTTTACATCATAGCCCAGGTAACACTCTATAAAAATGTTTTGAGTTTTCTTCATATATACTTTTTACTACTCAACGCTTACCTGGTTTGCTGATCTCCTGATCTGAATACTGAATAGGCTTTATCTTCTCTTTTCCAGGTCCTTTTGGTATTCTAAAATTAAAACAATTGAGTGTTTCAGATTTTGTAAAGAAAAAGAAAGGAAGGAGAAGAAAATTGCATAGGGATGGATGGCTGTTCACGAACTGCCCAACGGTTGGGTTTTCTGTTGTTACTCAGGAAAGCAGCGACACACACAGCCACCTCGGCCTGCAGTGTGTCTCGCTTTCATCCAGGAAATCCCAACAGCAGTGCCACACAAAGGACTTTTTGCAACATAAGGCATCCGCGAGTCTGGGCAACTTCAGGCAATCCGGCTGGATGGGCTGGCTGAGCGCTGGACTCGCTCGTTTGCCGAGCGGCCCCTGGCTGTGCCCTCGCCGGGACTGCAGGCGTGCGCTCCCGCCCCGCCACAAAGTTTGGGTTCTCCGGGCCTGGCGGGGCACCCCGTTTCCCCGGCGCTAGCCAGCGACCCGAGCCGCTGCCCGCAGCTCGCCGGCCGCGAGCGCCCCGGTTCTGTCCCTGAGCCGCTTTTACCCGCGAAGGCTCACGCCCGTGAAACGCGCACAAGCTCTACGAGAACTGCAAGCCTAGAAGCGGCTCCAGACGGCGGGCGTGCGGCCCTTCTCGAGGACGTCCCGGCCCCCCGCCCGGTGCTGCGCGGTCCTCTCGGCTCACCCAGCGGCCGCGGGGGCGCAGCCGCCTCCCCGCGCTCCAGGCCCGGGCGGACGCAGCCGGGCGGCCGGGCTCGGATGCCGCCCTCGGGGCCGACGGCAGCCGGCGTACTCACCGCGAGCGGAGCGGGCGGAGGCTCCGAGGCAGCCTGAGCCGACGGCGCGAGCCGCTCGCCCGACGGAGTCTTCAGGTGCCCGGGAGGGGCGGAGCCTCGCGGCGGCACGGCCGCCGCCTCGGCCAATCAGAGGGCGCGGGCGGCCTTTGAAAGCCAACGGCCGCGGGCGCGGCGCCTGCGCACTTGGCGTGCGGCGCGGAAGCGCTCGGGAGCGGGGCCGCCGGGCGGGACGCGCCTCGGGGCGAGGGTCGCGCCGCGGAGGGGAGGCTGGGGGCGGGCTGGCGCCAGGGCCCGGCGAGGGCGGGGACGCGCGGGCGGCCCGCGGCTTCTGGAGGCGGCTCGGCCCGACTGCTTATTACCGCGACCACGCCCGCGGGCTGGGTGGCGCGGCCTCGCGGGGCCCCCTCCCATTGTGACCTCACGGCCCCGCCCCCGTCCCGCCCCCGGGCGGCCCCGCCCCCGGCCCGCGCGGGTCCCGGCGTCCCTGCCGCCCGTGCCCCGCCCGCCTTCCCCGGGTGTGTCCCGCGTGTCGCCTCTCCCCCAGAAAACAGCGGAGTCGGCTTCACTCTCACGGAGCAGCCCCACTCCCTGCCCCGCTCTGTCCCAAGTGCACTCGGAGTCCCACCCCCGCGAGCGTCCCCAGGCTCCGCACTCAGAAGCCAGGGTCTGAGGGGAGACTCCTCCGCCGTCTCCAGCGACACCACAAGTTGGGAGCTGTGGGTCCCCGGGACACCCACGGATGGCTGTGCGTTTCCGGTCTACAGACGCATTTTAAACATTGAAGTCAGCCTGGTGGCTTTTTAACTTCGCCAAAGTACTGCTGGGACGTCTTTCCATGGCGGTACTCGCCCTACACTTACATATTCCCCTTAAGAAAGTGTGGTGCGGCAGGACGGTGGTGGCGCACGCCTTTAATCCCAGCACTCGGGAGGCAGAGGCAGGCGGATCTCTGTGAGTTCGAGGCTGGGCTGGACCGACAGCCTCCGAAGCAATACAGAGAAACCCTGTCTCGTAAAAACCAAAAAAAAAAAAAAGTGTGGTGCGGCCTGGAGAGTGGCCCAGCGACCAGAGCACTGCACACGGCAGCAGGCAGCCTGCGGTACCCGGTTCCGGGATCCACCACAGCCTCCGCCCACCCACTCTGCGGGCCTCAGACTTGCATTTGCTGCAAGCAAACACACAGATTCTTTTTTTTTAGATTTATTTATTACATATACACCAGATTGAATTGTAGATGGTTGTGAGCCACCATGTGGTTGCTGGGAATTGAACTCAAGACCTCTGGAAGAACAGTCTCTTAACCTCTGAGCCACCTGTCCAGCCCCCACGCAGATTCTTAGAAGACTGAAAAACGTAGTCGCCGTTAACGGTTGTTGACAAGCAGGGACATTTTGAGGTGTGATGCACGCTGCCCGTTCTCACCTCCGCCCGTTCTCACCTCAGTGCTTCTCCACCTCAAGACGGCAGAAGCAGCACTGTGGCTGTCGCTTTCCCAAAAGCTCTAACACATGAAGGAGTAGACTGAATGCTTGAGAGAAGCAGAAAGAAAAAGTAGGAGAGTCCCAAAACAGAGGTCCACAGAGATGGGGCAGAGGCAGGGCGGAGGAAAGTGCGTTATCCAAGAAGGGCGGAGTCCACAGTGGTGGCGGCAGCCTGTGGGGCCAGCTCTTGGAAGACTGAGGCCCGAAGTCACAGACCGGCGTGGGCTGCACCGCTAATAACATGCCAACCTAACAAGCAGACCGTATCTCAGAGACAAGATTGAAGAGGAGGGAGGGAAAGGAAGCCAACGCTCCCATTGTGCTAAGAGGTCCATAAAGTTCTCGAGGCCGCCAAACCGAACATGGGGGAGGGGCGGGGAGGTCGAGGAGCCTTAGAGACTGCACAGCTCGACGGTGACCAGCGTGACACATTCGGGTTTATGGACCATGGCGTGCACTCCACAGGCGGTAGTGCTGGCCTGGAAAACAGAGACCAGAGAACTAAACTAATTAAGACATTCAAACAAATAAGGATCAAAGCTTAAAAGCAATAAACCAAAAAAATCCCTTATGCAGGTGCTTGGGCCTCACAAAAACTTGGTCTACAAAACAGTCCAGCTGCTTTTTTGGGTCTTTTTCTAGATTATACTTCTGACATGCACTCTCAACAATCCCTTTGTGAAAGGATATTGGAAAAAAGATAAAAGGTGGTAAATATTGCATTTGTTAGAGGTATAATATGGGGAAAAGATGAAGTAAGACATGAATTCTGACCTGGGGGTGTAGCTCAGTCACAGCACTCACCTGGCGTGTCCAGCCCCCAAGACTGATAAGCAAATCAGCTTTGCGTGTGTTGACTTCCGGGTACCCCACAGACTACTGGCTTGATACCTTCTGTCTTGAGCACTGAAGCGGGAGGTCTTAGCGCTGGCTGCCCATCCCCAGCATGGCAGCTCACAATGGTCACAGGGGATCTAACGTTCTCTTCCAACAGCCACGATCACCAGGCATCATATGGCACACATACATGCACGTTACAAAGCATACCCAAGCTTAAGTAAACAGATAAATAGGCTTGGGTTGGTTTTTCGTTGTTGTGTTGTGTTGTTGCTGATTTTAGCTGACTGGAGGTAACTCACAATTAAAAGCACTTACCACTCTTCTCAAGTGCCTGAGTTCGGTGCCCAGGATGGAAGTGGACCCTTCAGAACTCTCGGTAACCCCAGCTCCGGGGATCTAATGCTGTCCCCTGGCTCTGTGGACACCCACACACACATGCCATATACTTACACTGACTAGTATTCATACACATAACTACATGAAACAGTAGGAAGCTTGGATCCTTTCTTAGACAAAGAACAAAACAGTTGTTAGGAATGGCAGAACAAACCTGCCTGTAGTAGGTGGCCGACCCTACTAAAGGATGATGGACACAGTGGAAGCTAAGGATTACCTCAAAGAGCTTGGGTGTCTGAGTCATTGTAGCCCGACTAGCAGTCTCAGGCCAGCCAGGCCACTTCCTGGTCTTTATACTTGAAAGAGATCCTTCCCACAAGAATCTCTCTGCTCACTGCAGACAAGAAAATACAGGCCCGGTGGCCCTAAGTCAGAGTTCCTCAAGTGTTTTCAGCTTGTACTCATCAAAACAGCAATGCAGCCTAGCTTGAGAAGGCACTCACACTGCGAGAGTTAGCACGAACCATTGTGTGAGTAAGAATGTACCCATGTCAAACGTGGTGGTTCACATCGGAAACCCCAGTATTTTGGAGGCTAAGGCAGGAGGGTCGCTGCAGGTTAGAGGCCAGCATGCACTGCATGGTGAGTTTGAAGACAGTCTGAACTACAAGGTGGGGACCTTATCGTCAAACAAAATACAGAAAAAGAATGTTCTTCACCTGTAATGCTTTTCATCAGAATCGTGGTGGGAAAATATTTGCTAGTATACGCCTATAATGTCAGCACTTGGGAAACTAAGGCAAGAGACAGCCATGAATTAGAGAACAGCCTGGATGCCAGTGAGATCCTGACTCTAAATAGATAAATAAATAACCATGGTTAAACAAAATTGTCATTATGTTGTTGTGACCAATTGAAGATTTCAGACCCTGGGAAAATGTTTCTTTTGCTTATTCTGTTCTGTGGGGAGTCAGGAAGGTCACAGGATGACAACTTTGTTGCCAGCTCCTAAGGAACTGGGTGCAAATCTTATCAAGGTCTGCCTTTCCGGGATAAGTTGCTTAAAACAATGTTAGCCACCGCTTCAGGATGGAAGATTTCCAGCATCAAATGAATTGTGAGGCGGATCACAGACACTCAAAGAGTCAGGAGGGTGGCCTGGCCTCATCCTCAGACACGCAGGGTTGATAGAAGACTAGGGAGAACTCTCTTGGAAGGGCTGAGGGGTTGCTTTTAATCCTACCCTTTCCCCCAGAATCTACCCTTAGCCTCAAACCCAGTAAAAAAGTCAACCTAAGACTGTGGGGTTCACTAAGCCCTTGGTTAACCCAAGAGGAACAAAGTCATTGCACTGGTGAGTGTTAAAGGCAATTGCCAAAGGCCTTGCCCAATGGTGCCAACTACAGGGCACATACACCTCTGCAGAGACATACAAGTCAGTGCTGTCCTGGATGCTGATGCAAATATGTACCGAGCCTGCAGTACTGCCCAGCCACCGGCAGGGTAGCGTTCAGGTGTGATGTCCCAGTGGTCTACAACCTGGAAAGTAATAGGTTTTCTATATCCTGATAACAGGTTTCTCAACCCACGAAGTAAGTCAGATCAAGCAGAATTGAAAAATTAGAGGAACAGGCTTAATTGAGCAAAACAACTCCTGGGTGGGTTCTAGTCCCAGAGATCAAGGCCAGAGAAGTCACACGCCCAAACTAAGGCAGGGATATTATATAGCTTGTAGGCAATGGGTGATGACATGTCTGTCACTAACTGGGTTTTTGCCCAACTATGGTCAAAAGCTGAACGGGGATTTGGGGCGCCGGCGCTTCAGGGGAGGGGCTGCAGGAGCCGGCAAGAAAGCAGAGCTGGGCTTTTTGGTGCCTTCCCTTTGTTTGGAGATTCTCTGAGTGGGCAGGACTTGGAGAGACAGGAATGTGACTTCTCAGAGCCTGAAGGAGCTGCAGGAGTGCTGGAGTTTCCGGCTGAACAGAACGAGTTCTGGAGTCTCCAGTAGCCACAGAATACTCTCTGAAGAAAAGATTCTTTTCAAACATGACCGAGGTAAAGAGAATGCGAACTGGACTTCCGTAGCTACTGTGTGCGAGCTCCCACAGTGACCGCGAGCCCTCTGACTTCACTTTCTCCTCCCGCCTCCACGCCAACACCGAGATGGATGGGAATCGCAGTTAAGAAACAGTTGGGGCTAGGGAAGCATAGAGAGGAGGCCAACGGCCCATCTTCCCCATGAGCCAGACACCCCCCTTCTAGCTGGCTTTATTTAAGGTGCTGGGTGACTATAACTTCAAATAAAATGCCAATGAAATTCATTCCTGAAATGTAGTTATGGAGGCCTTAGGATTTGGAGTTACCAAGCAATGTCTAGAAAAGTTGTGAGCCTGATGAAACTTCCTCCCCTCAGGGGAAAATCTTTCTCTACTAAGTAGGTTTTTCTTAGAAGTTTTTCTTTTTTCTTTTTTTCTT